TAGACCTCAGACAAAGGTCTACTATCTAGAATATATAAAGAACTGAAAAAAGTCAGACCCCCCCCCAAATTCAAAGACCCAATTCAAAAATGGGCATCTGAAGTGAATAAACATTTTTCAGACAAAGAAGTAAAAGCAGCAGATAAATATATGAAAAAATGTTCAACATCACTGGTTATTCTAGAGATGCAAATGAAAACAACGCTGAGATTCCGCCTCACCCCAGAAAAAATGGCTGCTATAAAGAAATCAACCAATAACAAATGCTGGCAGGGCTGTGGGGAGAAAGGAACCCTTCTCCATTGTTGGTGGGAGGGCAGACTGGTGCGATCATTATGGAAATCAGTGTGGAGATACCTCAAAGAACTAGGGCTAGAGGTCCCATTTGACGCACCTATTCCCCTGCTGGGTATCTTCTCAACAGAATTAAAAGAATCATACCACAGTGATATATGTGCACCCATGTTTATAGCGGCACAGTTTGAAATAGCTAAAGCTTGGAAACAGCCCAAGTGCCCATCAACTGGAAACTGGATAAAGATGTGGTGTTTTTATAAAATGGAGTACTACTCAGCCATAAAGAACGAGAAACTAGAGTCATTTATAGCTAAATGGATGCAAATTGAGGCCATACTCTTAAGTGAAATAGGACACACATGTGTAAATACCAAAGTTTCTCTAGTGTGAGAAACTGAAAGTGTAAATAAGGATTAAAATGATTAAAATGAATAACTGATAATTTGAAACAGGAAAAGGTACAAAGGTGTAGGGGTGGTGGGAGGGGAAGGGGAAGGGAAGAAGGGAAAGGAAAAATTATGAGAAAGAAAAAAGTGGAAACAAAATCTATGTAAATAGGGAAGGGTGGAGGGGGTGAAGGGTGCACAGGTAACGGGGAAAAAATAAGAACCAAGATACATCATGTACAGGTACAAGCACCCAATGATAAATGTAACCATATTGTATACCTAAAATGTACCAATAAAAGAATTTAAGGAAAAAAATAAAAACTAAAAAAAATAAAGTGTCAAGAACACTTAAAGTGTCTGTGTCACTGTGCTACAGAGCAAGACAGGACATCTGCTACAGGGATGCATGCCTGGAACAGGTACTCGGTCTGAGGCACCTCAGCATCAATGAAAGATCAAACTTCAGTCCAAAGGTTTGGGAAAAGGTTACTGAAGAGGATTCAAAGGAGGCCAAGTTTAGGGGGCACACCCATGCCTGTAATCCCAGCATGTAGGAGGCTGAGGCAGGAGGATCACTGCAAATTTGAGGCCAGTCTGAGCTACAGAGGCCGCATCTCAAAAAACAAAACATGGGGCCAGGGATTTAGCTCAGTGGTTTCAGCGCCTGTCTCACAAGCACAAGGTCCCAAGTTCGATTCCCACTACCAAAATAAATAAATAGGGTTCAAAATAATAGGTAGGGGAGTGGCATGAAGATGAGAGTCCAGGGGGTGGAGAAAGGGGATTTCTCTGAAGGCACAAGGCAGGCTGGGAATTAGGAAAAGAGGAAACAGGGCTACAAACAGAAGCGGGCCCACCCTCTTCCGGGTGAAGGAGGCAGGCCCTGGGCACCTGCCCTGTGCGGTACTCACCCCAGCTCCACAGCTTTCCCTCTGTGGTGATGAGGAGGCTGTGGGCAGCACACGACCCTGACACCACGGTCCGCACCCGGACCCCCGCCAGGCATCCATACCTGTGAGGCCCCCACAGGTTCTGACCGAGATTGCGGTAAGCGGCTGCAGAGAGAACAAGATCCAATCAAACCTCCGCAGTCGCAGCCCAGGGACGGAGAGAGGACTACCTCCACAATGTCACTGGCCACTAAGGGGCCACTTCCCTCCGATCCAAGGAGCAGCTGCTCCTGGGGTGCTGGCCTGGCCTGAACATCAGGCCACCCCGGGATGAAGTTTGCACCTCAAATCTGTGCTCCCCAAGGGCCCCAGAGCCAACCACCCCGGGAGCCAGTGTGGCCCTGATGTCACCAGCCACCTTGTCGCCCTCCTGACACTTATACCGTCCAGTAAGGCCCTGCCACACCCCTCCCCCTGCCCCAGCCTCCTAAGTTTCTTTCCTGGCCTCCGTGTCAGCTCGAGCCCCTCCCATGAACTCATTTCCCCAACCTCGTTCCTTCCTACCCCCCACTTGTCCACACCTGACTTAGAAATCTTCCTCTTGGGACCGAGAGACAAAGGGGACATAAAAAGAATGGAACAAAGATGTGCCATGTGCAAACACCAACTCCCCGTGCTGAACGTGATCATTATGTACTGCAAACTCTGACTAATGAAAACAAGAATCAAAAAGAAATTTCCCCTTTAACTGGTGGCCCCCCAGCCAGTACCCATGTGGCCCACCGGAGCTCCCCTCCTGCCGAGCCACCTGCCTTCCCTTCCCCTTCTGTGACAGCAACCAGGGCACCCCAGATGCTTGGCACACGGTGACGGCTCAATCTTGCCACAGGACCCCAGAGGGCAACACAACAGCTACTCCCTCGACATCCTCGCTTCAGCCGTGAGAAAGGGGCATGTGCAATCTTTTGCTTCATTTTCAAATTGAGATTCTTAAGTGACAACTCTGAGAAGCTAGGAACCAGGGGTTCATGCGCGTCACCCTGGCCCCAGAAGGAGCTGGCAGCAAGGCTGTGACTCTGTGTCCCTCAAATCCTCCCTCCTTCACAGGGCAAGTCCCCTGCAGGGTGTATGGCCCCTGGTCAGGTTCCTAACAGTGCCACGCCAGGAGACACCTTCGCTGACAGAAGTGGGGGTTAGCCACACCCAGGGCACAGAGAAGCTGGAAGTGGCAGCCTCAAAGACTACCTCAGAGCTGGAAGAAAACCCTGAAGCTGTAGCACCTCAGTCAGCAGGCGGGGAACTGTCCAGAAAATTCAGGGAAACTGAGCAAAAGAAGGTCTGCCACCGAGAGGCTCCAATGGTGCCAGTGCTGGGTGCCAGGGCACAAGGCAGAAGCAAAGGTGCCTGCTTGTCACAGCTTGGCCAAGTGGCTTGACTCACAGGGAGCTGCTGATTCGCCACCACCCCGCCCCACTGCAGGTCCACACATGGCCAGCTCCCAAGGACGTGGGGGTGGCTCCTGTCCCCAGCATCTCCATCCAGAGGGGTCACAGTTAATTCCACCGCAGCAGCCAGCCTGAGATATTAATACCCCTCCTCCTCTACCTCTTTCCCCTGCATCAGCCTCCAGGCCCTGGCCTGGTACTAATCACACAGCCACTGTGCTGTCTGGGAAGCCAGCCAGCAAGACTTGGGCTGCCTGTGCTCGGGGTCCCTGGGCTTCCTGGGCTTCCCGAGTGGTGGTGGGCAGGGCAGGTATCTTCTCCCACCTTGTTCACTGAGAAAACAAATCCCCTTCCTTTCCCTCCCCTCCAATATTTACTGGCTGATATTTAAAGATATTTTTCGAATTAAAAATATTACATAAACCTGCTTTGGAGAAAAAACCCCAGACATACAGGTAAAAAGGGGGGGGGGGCACACGAGATGACTTGATTAGAGCTGCTGTGGCCCAGCTTCTGTGGCCTCAGAAGGTCCGGGAGGCTGGGCTGCCCTGGCATTGTTGTGTGCACCTATCCCATGCTGAGCCACATGCTAGCACTTGCCCCCGTACCTCAAGCCATGGTGGGCCAGCTGGCTAAGACCAGGGGCGGCAGAGGCTGTGGTGGTGCCACAAGCAGGAGGCATTTCCTGGGACTTGGCAGGCTGGGATTGCTCCACAAGGGAGCTGCCATTCGTTGGGACCCACAGAGGCTCCCCGAGACAAGCCAGTCTCCCACGCCCCAGCCTTGGGTGCCAGGGTGTGATGGTGGGCAAATATTTGCTCATGGGTGAAGCAATGGTAGAAAGCACTTTGGGAAAGTTTCCAAAGAAAATCAAGAAGCCATAAAGCATGGCGGCAGGCCAGCCTTCTTGGGGATGGGAACACTTCCCCTGAGGAAAGACACCAACTTTTTTTTCTTTTTCTTTTGGTACCAGGGATTGAACTTGGGTCCTTGCGATTGCGCAGCAGGCGGTGAAACCACTGAGCTAAATCCCCAGCCCAAGACACCAACTTCCTAAAGGGAGCTGGGACAAACAGTTACTGCTTGGGACTTCTCTGCTCCCCTTCTCTTCACCAAGTGTTATTTGCTGTCAAGCCGGCTCCTGAAAGTTGGCAGCTTGTGAAGCAATGAGGGCTCTGTCGAAGTATCAGACTTCCTGACACCTGACAGTCACCGAATGTCTAGGACATTTCAGCAGCATTCAGCAGAGGACCAACCTCTTCATTGTCAGGAAGGCAAGTGAAACGAGGAGGAAGAGGAGTGGGAAGAGGAAGGAGGGGGAGAAAGAGGAAAAGGAAAACAGTGTCCATGCTTATTTGAGAAAGCCGTTTCTATTTCCATGTGTAATCTCAATGGAACTGGTTTCGCAGAACTTCGAAGTGAGTCTCTCTCTGCAGACCAGGACTCAAATCCAGCTCCACTGCTACAGTGGCTGTGTGGCCTCAGGCAAGTCACCTGGCCTCTCTGAACACATCTGTAAATAGAGAATACCTACCTGATGAGTGGTCAGCAGAACTGCATTGGACACCTAGCACAGAACAACAACTGATTGACGTTTAGAAACTATATCTCATACCTTGTTGCTTAGGCACTTCTTTACGACCAATCAAGTCCCAGTTGGTTGCCCCAAAAATCAAAAGTTGACCTTTGCACTTAGACCCTTCAAGTTTCTAGGGAGATAGAGAGAGGGAAAAGAATTAGCTTGTTAAGGCTCCTTCTAGATCTCCTAGGCTGTCCTGCCAAAGCAGGAAACAGAATTTTTGTGTGTGGTTCTTTCTGGAGAGTTAAACTCAGGGCTTCATGAATGCTAAGCAAGCACTCTATCACTGAGCTGTAACCCTGCCCTTTCTAAAATTTTAAGACAAAGTATTGCTGGGCCAGGGATGTAGCTCAGTGGTACTGCGTCTGCCTTGAAAGCTCAAGGTCTTGAGTTTGACTTCTGATACCAAAAAAAAAAAAAAAAGTATTAGGGCCAGGGATTTAGCTCAGTGGTGCCACGCCTGCCTTGAAAGCACAAGGACCTGAGTTCGATCCCTGGAACCGGAAAAAATAAAAGTACTGCCAAGTGGTTGGGCTGGCCTCAAACTTGCAAGCCTCCTGTCTCAGCCTGAGCAGCTGGGATCACAAAGATGCCCCACCACACCCAGTTAAAATGATTCTTAGTTGGGGCTCCTAGGGGCTCTGCACACTAGTCAGAGGATCTACCCAATCTCTCCCCATCTGCAGGTTTGGAGGTGGGTGACCTCAAACTTGCTCCCAGCAGCTCACTTGTTATGCCTGGGCTCATTTTTAAATAGCTTTTGCAAAACACTAAACATAAGCCAAATTACAGCCCTCCCCTCCACTCTAGGAACTGCCAGTTGTATGCACAGGGCCTCCCAGCCCGAAGGAATCCGTGCTCACCCTTGGGCCAAGCCTCCCTTTTCCAAGCAAACACTGTCTTACTGGTAGTCTTGAACCTCTGGTCACCATGCCACCGTCCTCGTCTGCTGCCCACCATGCCGAGGGTGGGCTCATGTTTCCATGAGTTGAGACAATAGTGGTAAATGTACTTTTTCAGGGCAGGGAGGAAGGCAAAGGGAGGGGAAAGCCTCCATCACGGGCAGGAGGGTCTGAAACAAGTGATCTTCCAGGGGCTCAGTGCTGCCCATAACCCAGGCATTGGACCAGGCCTCACAAGGGATAGGCTATCACTTCCCACCAGTGCACTTCAATTCTCATCCTTCACCAGCCTCAACTCAGGAAGTGACAAGGGCCACTAGCCTTCAACTGTGAAAATCTGAAAATCTGAGGCATTCAATACTTTTTTTTTTGGTACCAGGGATTGAACTTGGGACCTTTGTGCTTGGGAAGCAGTGGAACCACTGAGCTAAATCCCTGGCCCTTGGCATTCAATATTCTCAGTGCTCTGCCCTGGTCAATGTCAAAACAGACTTTTTTTTTTGGTACTGGGGATTGAACTCGGGTCCTTGCGCTTGCACAGCAGGTGATGAAACCACTGAGCTAAATCCCCAGCCCTCTCAAAACGGACTTTTTAACATGGATGGTGGCCTGAGGAGGTAGCTCAGTAGCAGAGCACTGACCTGGCACCTGGGAGGTCATGGGTTTGATCCCCAGCCCAAAAATCAACTTGGCAGACCCCTGGCTCAGCTCCACCCTGGTGAGAGAAATGTGGCCTTCCACTTTCACTTGCACCTTTTACACTCTGGTCTACACACTTGTTCCTGGAAGGCAGTTCTGCGTTCAACCATTCCCACTTTGCCAGCCTGCCAGGCTGGGTGTCCTGGCATTGTGCTTTGTACACATCTAAGGTCACAATGAGCGCGTTCCATTTCTTAGGGAACCTGGCATCACAAATGGGTCCTGCCACACTCTGCCATACTGACACAACAAGAGGAAGGTGGCCAAATACAGGGCACATCACACAGCCATCTGGCAGGAGGCTGCAGCACAGGAACGTGGAGCCACCTCTGCTGCTGAATTATTCACAAGTCTCGCCTCAGCAAGGGGAGGGGGCCACTAGCCTCCAGATTCAGGTTACTTGAATGGAAGCCTGGTTTTTCCCCTGCCATCTTCCCTTTCTGGTGCAAAGGCAGGTGTGGCTGGAACATGCCACATCCAGTTGTGTGCCCTGTGCAAGGAGAGGCCCTGGCCCCCAATCAAGCCACTCACTCGAACTCTGCTATCTGCAGGTCAGTGTGGTGGGGCAGCAGAGATAGGAAGGGACTGAGGCACCAGGGGACAAAGTTGGGAAGAGGACACCAGAATGACCATCACTCCAGGCCATGCAGCCTCCAGGCAGGCAGAAGAGTTCAAGGGGCCCACACTCAGCACTAGCCACTAAGGTGAGACCACCCCAGCACTGAGCAAAACTTCACGGGCGCTGTGGCTTCCTAGAACTCCCCACTCCATCAGGCCAGGGGGCTCAGGCTGCATCCAGACAGTGAGAACCTGCTGGCATGAGCTTGGGCAGAGGCTTTCCCGAGTGGCCTAGGCATCAGTCAAGGGCTTGTGAAGCCCAGCAAGCACTAAAACCCAACCCGCCTTTCTGCTTAAAGGCCTCTACAGGAAACTGAGTCCACTCCAGTGACAGCAACTGGCTTCTTCAAGGGCACTGCCACGTTGACTCAAATGTTTATGTCTTGGGCCCTGCGTCCTCCCACATGACATGAAGGGAATTATTTCATCACTATACTCCACACAAGTGTTTGCTAAAAGCCACTCCCCTTTATCTCTATAAATAACGATGGTGGCGAACCTATGGCACCTGTGCAGCAACACACTATTTGTATTACTGGAAACTCTAAAAAGGTTCACCATCACTGCTCTCTAAATTCTTCACTCCATCTTATACAGAATAAAGAAATAAAACCTAAGAAATGTTACTCCTATTGCCACTTAAGTCACACCCATGTCACTTTTGGTGAGCTGGGGTGGACTCAGGCTCTCAGTTTCAGCTCCAGCACCAAAAAACAGGAACCAGAGTATTGTCTGACCCTCCGGAGCTGAAGCCAAGCTCCACTGAAGGGGCAGGAACAGTTTTATGGATGAACCTGGTGACTCCAACATGGCTCCCACCTAAAGCCCCATGTAGCAGATGAGCCTAAAACACAGTCCCCAGGCAGGACAAATCAAACTCATCTCACCTTGCTGCCTCCCAACAACTGGTCACCAAGGTGAACAGCCATAGCAGAAAAATGCACTGAGCTTCTCAATTAACAAAATGAGGTTTTTGATCCAAAGCGATTTCTGAATTATTGTCCAAGTGCAAAAGGCATGTCTGCGAGGTGGAGGCAACCTCAACACACACACACACACACACACACACACACACGCGAGCGCGCGCGCACGCATGCACGCATGCACACACACAGGAGACTGCCGCTGCCCAGGGAGGGAAGGCCAGTGAGAGACAGGCAGCATCAGGAAACTCTGGTCCTTCCACATTGGCCCGGAGTGTCTCTGCTGCACGAATCCTCAGCAACCCCAGGCTGGAGACACTACTGAGACCTGGACACCTGTGACACTCACCTGTTCCCAAGGACTCAGCCAAGGCGGCTTGCTTTACTTGCTCTACAAGGCTGAGGTTCATAGGACTCAGGACTGAATCAGTCCTAGGAGGACAAAGCACTCATCTGACAACCACACACTGACCTCAGGACCTCAGAGAGTATTTTCTGAGACTGAAATCCTAAGACTGTTTTGTAAAAAATAGCCATCTTTTACTAAGGCAACTTTGCCCCAGTATACAGGTCGCTAAAACAACTCCAGAGTGGTGGAGGGGTCCAGTGGAAAGGGTTTCAAAAGCTCACAACAAAGCTCCTTCTGGGGCTGGGGATTTAGCTCAGTGGTTTCACTGCCTGCCTTGCAAGTGCAAGGACCTGAGTTCAATCCCCGGTACCAAAAACAAAACAAACAAAAAAAGAACAAAGCTCCTTCTGCATCAAACCAGCAACTCTGGGCGGGCTGAGATAGCATACAGGGCCTCAGGGCTGCCCAACAGACGGAGACCTGGGGCCAGAGACTTGGGTCAGGATGCCACCAGGACAAGGGCAGGGAGCCAGCTTAGGCCTTTGGGAGGGGAATGTGGGCTGCAAGGGCCCAGGACTGACCCTGCACCAAACCCAACAGACGCAAATGAGAACAGGAACTTGGGTGTGCACTCTCCAAGATACATTAAAGAACATCATTTGTTGAACTCCTGTGGTCTTTTTCTGATAGGATGAGAGAAGTTCATTCTGTTAGCTCAAAGGAATCTGCTCAACAGTCCTTCTGGTTCAAGGGTTAGGGATGTACAGCTAGATTATATAGACATCGTCATGACGTATATGTATAGAAAAATGTAAAAAGGAAAACGATAGATGAAAATAGAAAACAAGCATAAGCTGCAAAAGAATCTGCAGCCAGACTTGCAAAACATGCCATTTCCAGGAGACAAACCAGCTTCACGCAGTGCTTGTGGCTGCAGAAGTGACAGTGTGGAAAACTTGGTGCCCCTCCAAGTCTTGCTCTGCTGCTATCATCTTGGGTGAATCCCAGCATGGGGTAAGAATCCTCTATTTCCTGACCCCAAAATTCACTGCTGTAGCAGTCAATTGAAGCCATGCAGCTGGACAGCCCAGTAGATGTTTCAACATAACCTTGCTTTTACTAATGCACTCAAACACAGAAACACAAGCTTGTCCAGCCTTGCCTCTTAGTTTTATCCTAACGAAGTGTGATTGATGGGCCTAAGTCTGGATTAGATCTGCCAAAGAAAAGCAGCTCCCATGTTCCTGTTTCTCAATACCCTGGCACTATCTTGGCACCTGGCCAGCACAGGGCCCTACCTGGGCAAGACCTTCTGACTTAAGCTCTCCTCCACCATCTGGTGTTAGTTCTTCCTCCAGGAGGGCAGTTATAAAACACCTGTATAGGTACAACCCACAATCCCCTCAGACCCGCAGCTCCCTCATCTGTGAGGTGGCTGTAAAAGCCCCATTTCTAACTAGGAGGCAGGCCGGCTCTGGGGAAGCACTGGGCTCCCGAGCATGCGCACATGGAAAGACGAGGTCCTCCCCAGAGCGTCACTCTAAACCCCAAGGGGAAGTTCCATCTCTCTTCTGGGGTTATCTGGGAACCTCCCCAAAACCTGGCCCACTGCAAACTTGCAGAAAGTTCTGGCAGACAGAGTCCAGACCCTGGGCTCAGCTCTGCTGGACTCTGCAGGCACCTAGGTCGAGTCGGCCACGACTTTCACTGCCACTCGAGCAACTTAAACCCACTCACTCCGCGGGAGGTGCTTCGCACCGGTGATCCCCACGGTAGGTGGGCCAACACCCCGCAACGAGGCCCACCAGCAGCAGACAAAGCCGGAGCCCCTCTACGCCGCGCCTGCCAGATAAGGGGGGGGGGCCTTCGAGCATGCGCTCTCACACGACGGCCCCCGCCTTCCCGGCGCGGAAGGCGCAGGGCCTCACGGGGCATGCGCAGCGGCCCACAGGCCCCGCCCCCCCGGGGCGCCGCAGCCGAGGCGGCGGGAACCTCAAAGCCCGGCGCGAACTGCCGCTCCCCGCAGGGCGCCGGCCGCCCTCCTCGCCACGCCCGGGCCCACTAGCAGGCTGGGGGGGGGGCACGGGGGCGGGCGCAGGCGCGTGGGGCTGCCCGGCGCCGCCTCGGCCCTGGGCCCGCGCGAAGTTGCCCAAGTCCCGCTCGGGGCGGGGGAGGGGAGAGGCTCGCGCGGCTCCGGTGGGGGCGGGGCGTGACCCCCGCGTGGGCGGCAACGCGAGTTCGGCAGCCCCTCCCCCGCCCGGCGCCGCGCGTGGGGTCGCTAGGCCGCGGCCCGCGCCGCCGCCGCCGGCTCTTTTGTTGCGCGGAGGTGGAGATGATTCAGCCGCAGCTTTCGCCTGCCGCCCCCGCCCGCCTGAGACGCCCGGCCCCCGCCAGCCCGCCGGGCCCACTCACGACGCGCTCCTTGGTGTGCTCGGGCTCGGTGATGACCACGGCCGCGCCACCCGCCTTGCCGGCCGTCGCCGGTCGCGCCGCTCGTTTGCCGCCGCCGGGGGCCCCGTCGAGCTCCAGGCCGTCCTCGTCGCCGCTGCTGCCGCCGCCGCTGCTGCTACTGCAGCGCTCGGGCCGCTCGCGCTTCCTACTCGCCGGGCCGCCGCGCTTCCTGGGCCCCGCGCGGGCCATACCGTTCCCCGAGCTCGGCTCCTCCCAGGCCGCCGCCGCCTTCTTCCTGGGCATGGTCGCGGCTGGAGGGAGACACGGGGCAGCGGCGCACAATGGACGGGTTATAAACTGCGGGGGGGAGGGGAGGAGACGAGCCACCCGGCCTCCACTTCCTCCCCTGCCCTCCCCAAAGTGGCGGCCGCGGGGTGGGCGGAGGGGCGAGCGGGGAGGAGATCGCACATCTCCCGGCGGGGCGCGCCGGGGATCCCGCGCGCGGTGGGCGCCGGGGAGCGGGACGACCCCCGGCCCATCCCCGAGTTAGTTTCGCGCACTAAGCATCGCGGTTGCATCCTGGTCCCGGAGAAGTGCGCGGTAGCAGGGTCCCCTGGCCTCCTGGATTTGTTGCGGAGGCTCCCGGGACACTGGAAAGGATCCCGGGGTGGCCGGCTTGGGGAAGGGCCCCCTCCACGGCAGCCCACCCCACCTGCTGCTTTGTCTCTGTGACCCCTCCCCGGCCCCGCTCTGGGTACGCAGTGCCCTTCCCGCCCCCAGGCCGGTGCTTCTCAGCCGAGTCCCTCGGGGTGGGCGCCCCCAGCCCCAACACCTGCTCGACAGACACGGAAAATAAACTTTAATGGTGTAACTCGGGGCCGCGCGCCTGCCGGCCTCCTCGGCCCGCTCGCCGCGGCCCCAGCGCTCTATGCGCCCGCTGGGCCGCTTTCGTTGTTTTTTTTTTTTTTTTAATTGATTTTGAACAATGGGATCTCTGTCTGTCTCGGATTAAACCACGTGGATCCGCTTTCCTTCCCCTTCTTATTCATTCAAAACCCCAGCCCCCCCTCCTCAGGGTTTTTTTTTTTTAACCTTTTATCTTTAAAAAAAAAGAGAGAGAGAAATGAAAACCGGAAAAGGAAAAAAAAAACTTTCCCAGATCCCGCAAACTGATCACTGAGAATCCTCAGCCCCTACCTGGCTGGAGTGATGCAAAACCGGAGAGAAAAAGGAAGAGTCGCAACTAAAAGACGGATAGGAAGGCTGCTTTTCTTTCTTTCTTTCTTTTTTTCCGGCCCAGACGAGGGATCCTGCCCTCTCACCAGATACACTTAAAATGTAAATACGAGCTTCCAGAACAAATGCTACAACACAAAACAGAAACACATGTGCGGCCGGGCGGCAAGCGAGCGCTCAGCGGGGCTGGCGGCGCTTGTCCCGGGGCGCGCGCGCCCCCTGCGGGCCGGCGGACCGGTGCTTCAGCCCCGCGCCTGGCGCCACGCCGCAGACCTGGCCCTGCTTGCTCCTACGCGTTCCGCAGGCCCGAGAGCGCGCCCAGGGCCTTCCACGCAGAACGTCCTGCGCGCCGGAGTCGTCTTTGGGGTTCAGGAGAGCGTTGGATTTTTTTTTCCACGGGCGTGTCTAGACAGGTCACCTGAGGACACTCGCTGGAAAATAGTTACTTCGCTCACGCTGCAGCTAACAAGGGACGTGCCCTAATTGAGCGATCGGAATGAAAGTGGAATACAATTTGAATAACTTCCTCTATTCAGAGAGAGGCTAGTTATATGCCTATGGATGAATCCCCTGAATGTAGCAAGGTGCTGTTACACGGTCCAGTTATATAAAAGTGTAATATATGAATGTATTCATTTGTATTTAATTTGAGAGCCATAGATACACTTGAAGCTAGTTCTGATGGAAATTTTTCATTTCTTGACATATTTACTAAGCCCTCACTTAGCACATGCGAGACTCACAGTACTAGATGCTGGGGACACAGACCGGAGAAACAAGATTTCTGCCCCAGGGGAAGGTGCAGTAAGGAGAAAGATTAATTAAACAAGTATTGCGAGTGTGAGCGGTATTACAAAGTGATACCTATGTAGCAACATTATGAGGCAAGAAAGTATACTATTCTGGGGTCAGGGAAAGCGTTCCTATGGGAAGTTCAAAGGCAGGATAAAGCTCACAGGAGAGCATAGAAAGAGTATTCCCAGCCAGGGAGGAACTATGTGGACTCCAGAGATCCTGGTATGAAAATGTCCGGGCAGCTGGAATAAGAAAATTAAAGTAGCTAGGGCTGAAGAAGGCAGGGGTCACACAGAGCCTGGTAAGCCACATGGAAGATAATTGTCAGGAGCTGTTTGCTCATCCTGGGATTGGGGGAGAAAGACAAAAAAGACTTGCTTTATTCCTACTCCACCCATCCCCACAGGGTCATCTCAGTGTAACTGTCTCGCCTGCTGTTTCCATCTCCCTTCCTCCTGGGGCACAGTAAGCACAGAAGTTCCTTTATTAGCTTCCTGCAGGTGGATGGAGTTCTAGAACTTTGGCAGCTCGTCCCTTCATTAGTTATTACACCAAGAAGGAGGATTGGGAGGCAGCAGATGTCTCGAGGAAGACAGACTCCAAGAAGCCCCAATTTGATTAAAGTCAAAAGTCTGTGGGTCCGGGGAGCCAAGAGCACTTAGGTAGAAGAACTTTGGAAATGAACGATCAGCTGCTACATTTCAGAGAATTTCAGAAAAGTCAGGACAGACTAAGAGCACCCTTAGAAAGGCTCCTCTTAATAGCCTTTGCATTTAAAAATAAAAAAGATTGAGATTACACCTTGGTGCTTTGATATAAAACAAGTAGAATCGAGCAGGAAAGAACTTTGCCTAAATATGCTAGGAAGTCCCCTTCACGAGCCGGCAGGCTGATGCTTGTCAGGCTGAGGTGGTGGGCTGGGTGTTTATTCTCCAAACTCCCTGTGTGGCCAATTAGGGACTCTATCCACAGTGCTTTTAGATTTCAGCCGCGAGTTCTCTCTCTCTCTTTCTCCTGCCCCATTATAATGCTTTCAAAAAAAAAAAACACAACAGTGTAAAAGACGTGTCAGAAACACTGATGCAATGGGATGCTAATCTCACCTCGAATCATCTGACCCTACTTAGGTGTGGCGCTCCCAAAACTGGTTCTTCCGGGCCGGGCCGGGGATTTACCTCAGTGGTTCTGCCTCCTGCCTCACAAGCGCAAGGTCCCGAGTTCGGTCCCTGGCACAAAAAAAAACCAAATAAAAACCCCTGGTTCTTCCTGAGGTTGTGCTGCAAGGAGAGAAGCGCTGTGAGTTTAACACCTTCGAACTGGCCCTACTTGTCAGATGACACAAGTGATTTCTGGGACTGCAAGACTGATCCCACAGCGGTCCTCGCCCTGGGAAGGAAGCCTGGCGACTCTCGGACTGAAATGGGCGCTCTGCTGGTCCCTCCGCCCCGGTTTTCGGCCAGGCGTGTCTGCGCCAGCAGCTGCTTACGTAACAAATGCTACAGGGCGAGGCGCACCTACCAGGAGCCTGGAAGCGGCACTTCCGCCTCCAGAATATGCTTGGGATTTCACTTCGGTTTCATAGAGCAACTTTTCCGGAGACACGGTGGCTTGGTGCAAAGCCTGGAGAGCAGAAGGGGAAGGGGACTGATCCCTCGTGCACTTCCGGGTGCAGGTGCCCGGCTCTGTGCTGAGCGGTTTGCACCCAGATTGTGGAATGTAGGTTCCAGGTGCCAACCTGCCTTTGCCGTTTGGCCTCTTCTGGTTTTCAGTAAAGGCATTTTTCAAATTAGACCCAAGCCAGGCGTGGGTGCCCCTCTGTGATCCCAGCACTCTGGAAGCTGAGGCAGGAGGGTCACAAGTTTGAGCCAAGCCTGGACAATTTGTGGATTTAGACCCTCTCCGGAAAAAAAAAAAAAGCTGAAAAAGGATAGAGGATATAATTTAGTGCAAAGGCCCTCAATTCCCAATACCAAAAAACTCAAAACTGCAAAACAGCTCCATAATTTTATTACATTTAACTGAGCACAGTGGTACATGCCTGTAGTCCCAGCTACTCAGAAAACCGAGGCAGGAGGATTGGAGTTTGAGTCCAGGGGTACTTATCAAGTTTCAGACCAGCCTGAACTACGCAGCAAGACCCTGTTTCCTCAAAACAAAAAAAGTGCCGGGGATTTAGCTCAGTGGTTTCAACGCCTGTGACGCAAGAACAAGGACCGGAGTTTGATCCCCGGTACCAAAAAAAAAAAAAGTATGAGTGGGAATATAGCTCAGTGGTAGAGTGCTTTGCCTAGCATGTATGAGCTCCTGGGTTTAATTCCCCAGCACCACAGACACACACATACACACAATAAGAAGAAATTACATTTTAAAATTAATTTATTTTATTTTGGTTTCCTGAGATAGGGTCTCACTTTGCAGTCCAGGCTGGCCTTGAATTCAAAAATCCTCCTGCCTCTGCCTCCCAAGTGCTGTGCTACCACACCTGGCTAAAATAACTGCTATGTTGATTCCATGTTGAAATGATATTTTGTATATCTTGGGGTAATGTAGTACTAAAATTAGTTTCATCTCTTTCTTTTTGCCCCCCCCCCCTTTTTTTTTTGGTGCCAGGGATCGAACTCGGACTTGTGAGACAGGCACTGGAACCACTGAGCTGAATTCCCGGCCCTACTTTTTGCCCTTCTTCAATGTGACTACCACAAAAATTTTATATATTTAAATGTTGGGGCTCATATTTTACCTACACTGGACAGCAGCACCTTTAAAAGCAAACCTGGAAAGCCTGCCCATTGTTCTGGCACCCGCCAGTTCTGCTTCTCCCATCTGGTTTCCCCTGTCTGCCTATAAGATGGCAAGGGAGTCTGGCTAGATTCCTCTTGGGGTCCCTCCTGGCTTGAATATCCCCTGCTTCAGAGATCCATAGACAGTGGAGCTCCTGTCCTAGTGACTGGAGATATGTTTGACAGGAGACAGAGATTCTATTGTCCTATTTCTGTCAATGACTCAGGAAATTTTAGGATCTAAAGGGTATTACCAGGTGTGGTGGTGCATGACTGCAATCCCAGCACTCGGGAAGCTGAGGCAGAAGGATCACTCCAAGTTTGAGGCCCACACTGGGGCTACACAGTGAGTTTCAGGCCAGCCTGAACTATATAATGAGACCCTGTCTCAAAAAAAAAAAAAAAGGTCTTTAGGGGCCAGGGATTTAGCTCAGTGGTTCCAGTGCCTGCCTCAAAAGCTCAAGATCCCAAGTTTGATCCCCGGTACCAAAAAAAAAGGTCTTTAGATATTATAGCCAGAACTGTAAATTTTTGACTTGTGAGCCCCTCTGGGGCTTGGCTTGTAGTATGGCCCTGTTTGTCCACAAGCTCCCAGGACAGCTGGCAGGTAGCAAGCTGTCACTGTGCTCACTGACCTCAGCAGTTCAAAGGGGAAGGATCACAGCCCAGAGAGGGTCCAAGACCTCCTAGGGCCACACAGCTGGATGGTCAGAGACCCAGGAAGAACACAGCCCTCACAGTGTGGCTCAGTTGACTGGTATGGGACTAGCAGCACCTGCAGTACCTAGGGGTTTCCCAGAAACACAGAAGCACCGGCATGGGCCCAGACCCTCAGGATCAGAAACTGTGCTTTCTTTTATTTATTTATTTATTTTTGCCATTGAAAGAATTTATTTACTGGGAAAAAGAGACAACTGCCAATTTTAAGTTCCCTCTGCTCTTCTGCCAGGGACAGAAGTCCAGGGAAGTGCTTGCGTGCCCACATGAAAACTGTCTCCCTGCCATGCAGAGAGGCAGGCATGTGTCTGCCAGTCTCCCCTCCCTGCACCCCCCACCCCCCTTGGGCAGGGCTGGGCAGTCAGGACGCAGTTCCGGGTTGGAAGCTGTGAAGGCTGGGGTGCTCAGTCTCTGGACAAGTTCTTCCCAGATGGATGGTACATTGATATCTGTTTCCCCCGTACCTCTTCCGTGCCAATTAGTTTGAGGCCAGGAAGGCTAGAAACTGCTCGCTCTTGCTGGTGGTACTGGGGATCAAACCTGGGCCTTGTGCATGCTAAGCCTGTCTGCCACTGAGCTACATCCCCTGCTAAGAAACTGCACCTTTAAAAAATTATTTACTGGGCTAGGGATGTAGCTCAGTGGTTCCACCGCCTGCCTTGCAGGTGCAAGGTCCTGAGTTCAATCCCTGGTAACAACAACAACAAAAAATTTATTTATTCATTCATTTATTTACTTATTTGGGGTTTTTTGACACAGGGTCTTGTTATGTAGCCCAGGTTGGCCTCAAACGTGTGGTGATCCTTCTGCTTCAGTCTCCTGAGTGCAGGAATTATAGGCATGGGCCACTACACCCAACCAGAAACTGCA